CAGTCATTCATTCATGAAAGATCAAGCCCCCCCCTTCCCACCCCGCACCGAGCTAGGCCCAGGCTCTCACAGGGAGGCAGGCAATAAGCAAACGTGCTTTCCAAGGGGTCTCACTGCTGCGGAGAAAATGAGCCAGCTGCAGCGACAAACAAAAACACAGGGCAGGGAGGAGGGAGCCTCGCCAAGGAAGCGAGATTTAAAGCCAGGCTGGAAGGGTGAGGATGCAGCCCAGTAAAGGAGTCAGGGGCAGCTGGCCTGTGTGAGGGATCAGTGTGTATGAGCCACTAATGGTGGAAGAGAAAAAAGGCTCAAAAGGCTGGTGGGCGGGGATGGGGGTGGGTGTGGGGGTGGGCGGAATGCTTTGCAGGGGCAGGAGGGCCCTGATGAGCCTGCTGGGCTTTTATTCGAAATGCAGTGGGAATCCAGCCACTGAAGGTTTCAGCCAGGGTAACAGGATCCGGCTTCCATTTTAAGAAGCTCTCTCCCTGGCTGCTGGGTGGAGCCCAGGGGACCGAAGGGCAGATGGGCCCCAGGGAGACCAGGTGAAAGGTCACGGTGGAGCCCCACTGCCGCGTGGGAGTGAGGAGAACGGAGGGCGAAGATTATGTGAATATATTTCAGGGCCAGGAGACACAGGGCTTTGTTAATGGGTTGGAACGCGGGTGGAAGATATTACAGTGTTTTTTTAAAAACCAACTGATCGTTTTGGCGTATCTGCCCCATTGGACTGTAAGCTCCCTGAGGGCAGAGTTCCTGTTGGCCTTGTTCACTCTAGGTTCCCCAGGACACAGTACAGGCATTTAATGAAGGTTTAACGCATGCACATGGGGAGTGAGCGAATTAATGAATGAGAAGGCAGGCTTAAGGATGACAGGGAGGATGGGGGTAGCACATGAGCGGGGACGACAGGGGGCCAAAGGGCGAGATCAAAGCCCAGGGCAGGGAGGAGGGGGAGGGGCCAGTGAGTGGCACAGAGAGCAGACGGGGGAGGGGGAAGCTGCTTGGGTCACTGTTATCCCCCCAGCATGGAAAACAGGAACCAGAATATAGAAGGGGTTCAATACACATTTGTCAGATGGACAGACGGATGGATGGAGTTGAGAGGAGAGTTTTGGGCTGGAACTGTGCACGTGGCTGTCGCCAGTGCCCGGAAGGTGTTTAAGGCCGCGGGAGTGAACGAGGTCACCTAGGAAGGAGTGTGGAGAGAAAGGAAGGGAGCCCTGCTGGCCAGCCCATGGCCCCAAGCCAGGTGTTGCTGACTTAGGAAGAGCCCAGCAGTGACGGAGTGGCCCTGGAAGCAGGCAAACCCGGCAGAGGGCAGAGGGTGGGGGCTGGTTCCACAGCCCGAAGGGGAAAGGAGGGGAAGCTTCCAGCGCCAACAGAGAAGGCATCTGACCTCCTGACTGGGAGCCACAGGCCTCCCCCGGCTCCAGCTCCTCGGACTGTGATGCCCAGCAGAGGCTGCCCAGGTGGGAGCAGGCACCGGGGTCTCCTGCAGCCCTTCCTGGCCTCTGGAGCCACACGTGTCATCCGGGGCCCAGGGGTGGTTGCCACAGGCCCAGGGGACTCAGCCAGGTCATGGGCCACCTACTGTGTGGGCACCAGGGTGTGCACACACGGTGGCCTGGAGCTGGGGCAAGAAGGCGGTGCTCCGTGTAGGGGAGGTGTGCTGCTAAAGGTCGTCCACCCAGGCCCGGGGTACCCAGGTCCCTCGGGACTAGATGCACCTGCAGTGCCAGCCTCCGCCCTGGCCCACAACGAGGCAGGTCTAGCAGGGACTTCCACCTGCAGTTTAGGATTGTGAGGAAAATCATGCTGGGAAAGACCTCCCCAGAGCCCTGTTCCGAACTGGGTTCTGGGCCTGTCTCCACCGGTAACAAGCTGGGCGGCCCCACGTGCATGGAAGTGGAAGAGGTCTTCTCACTCCACCTTCCGCGCTGAGCAGTTCTCCCCACAGACCCCGGGCACAGCGTCATCCAGCATCTCTCCAAACTGTCAGGATCGGAACTTCTCTGCCCGCAAGGCAGCCCATTCCCATTCGATCATTTTGTTAGAAAGCATCTCTTTTTCAAAAGGCCTGGAAGGACCTGACAGATGTCAACAGGGTCACCTCTGGGGAGGAGAATGGGGCTGAGGGAGGGTGGCAGGGGCTGCCCTGTTCATTGGGTCTGAGATGCTTTTGATACCAGGTGTTAAGTTGGCAATGGCAAGGACAACAAGAAGTAAGGTTCTTCATTTGACCCTGGTCTGCTTTCCTAACATTTCCACTTCCTGGGCCAGGTCTGCTGTCCGGGACCAGAGAATAACCTAAACCCACTTCCCTTCGGATTGTTCTCCTTCCCACCGAGTGTTCTAACTTGGTTTCCCGCCAGGTCCCCACCGGTCATCCCCTTCCAAGCAGAGACAATAAAACGCAGGTTGCAGAAGGAAGAAACCCATTGCCCCCTGAGTTGGGTGTAACCTCCTGCTAATTAATTAAAGAAGCCTGAGGAGACATACTTCTTGCTTTTAGGTGCACGTGTGTGTTGGGCTGGGGTGGGGGTGGGGGAACATGATCCGATCACTCACTTCCTCAAGCCTTTGTTTCTTATCTATAAAAGGGGTTAACACCACCCTTGCCCTGAGGACCGGCTGACAGTAAGAACATAAAAACCTCAGAAAGCACACGTCCTCACCGTCGGGGCTACGACTTAGGTGCCCCGTTCCACTCAGATAGAGAGCTAAGCGACGGGCTGTGGAGCCGGAGTCCTCGGGCTCAGGCCCAGCTTTGCCACCTGTTGGTTGTGCGACCTTGGAGAAGCGACCTGACATTGCTGGGCTGTGTTCTCCTCGGTGAGATGAGGATGACGACACCACCCACCAGGAAAGCATTTGCAGGAGCATTAGAGGTACGGCCCAGCGCACCATAAATATCAACTCTTTGCTATTATTACCCTGGGTCTTACTCCTTCACCGGGAAATGAGGGCATCCCCGAAATGAGGTGAATTCATGGCACCCCTTCAAAAGGTGAGGCACCCCACCCAACTGGTCGTCTGTTATTGGGGTGGGTTGTTCCACAATCCCCCCACCCCGTATTTGTCAGCAATGATGAAGCAGGCAGTGCACTCAGGGCTCGACGGGTCCCGCCTCAGCGAACCCGCCCAAGGGCTCCAGGGTGTCCGCAGCATCATTGCTCCCATTTTACAGATGCGGAAATAGAGGGCCACACAGCTGCAGTCATTTGCCCAGGGTCACACAACTAGGGAGTGACGGAGCCAGGACTCGAACCCCAGTCTCTCCGACTACCAAAGCTGGTCTCAACCACCAGGGCTCCTGCCCTTTTTACCAGTTTCCTGGCTGGGGCTCCCTCCAGCTGCGGGGACCAGAGGAAGCCAAACCTGGTCCTTCGTGACAGCGGCCTGAAGTTTCTGGAAGGTGGGAGGAGGGACACTCCTGCTTCTCACTGGGCTCTCTGCCCTCCTGCACAGGGCCCCTCCGGTGTCACCGAGACCCCAGGGGCATCTCCTTAGGTCCCTGCAGGACCACCCTGGCATTTGGTACCCTGGGCTGCTTGTTTGCTGGGTTCTCGGCCCCTGATCATGCAATGGTTGCACATGAGCCACACACACACACAAAAAAGGCAAAAAAAAAAAAAAAAAAAACCCAGCCATTTTGGACGTGGGCCCTGATGCGTAATATCATTATGGAGCCAACCGAGTATCCCACCCCATTATCGCCCGCCAAGCTTCTGCGAGGCAAGCCTGGCTGCAAATGGCTCTCTCCTGTCTTGGGGGGGTGGAAGCCCCACTTGCCCTCCACTGCCGGAGGAGAGATTTTATCTTTAATTGACGACTGGCTGCCTGCCACGCCTCGCCTCTGTGGGCCCAGGCTCCGGCCGATTTCCCCTTCCGCCTCAGGAACAGGCTTCCCTTTGCACCTTCCCTCCCGTCGGCTCTGCTGTCCATCCTCCCCTTGCTCTCCGGTGCGCCCTTGTCCTCTCCTGGTGTGGCTGGATGTGGAGGTGGCAGGAGCCTGGGGACAGACGCCTGAGAGCTCCAGGACAGGGCTGGGGCAGGGACTAACGCCCTCGCATCCCCTGCACAGTGCAGAGAGGCGAAGGGCCCCGAAATAGAGGCTACCATTATCCCCATTCTATAGACAGGGAAACTGAGGTTCCTTGACTTGTCCCAGGTGACCCACTCAGCAAGTGGCAGGTCACGACTTTAACCTGAGGCCCTTAGGACTCTGTTGTGCCTGGAGTAGGAGGAAGAAGCAAGACCAGAGCAAGGAGGACAAACGTGCACCCGGGCCTGGATACATCACAGGGCCCAGTGCAACCGGAAAACCCAGGGCCCCTTCTTCAATAATTATCACTCCTTTCAAGACGGCGACAGCGGAGAATGTGGGGGCCCGTGTGAGCAGCTGCCCAGGCTCCACGTCCGTGAAGCCAGCCCTGCGTGTGGCCCTCCGAGTGTGGCACTGAGGGACCACACTCGGTCCCTGACTGTCCCTTCCCACCACCCCGCCCTCCCCTCTCTGGGTTCTGGCCGTGTTCATTCCCCGGCCCTAAGTGGTCCCCGTTGTGTCACCAGTCCCTTGCCGGCCTCGCTTCGTCAGCCATCCAGGCATCTCAGCGGCTGCGGCATCTCCAGGGCCCTGGCCCACATAGAAATGGTGCGATCTGAAGAGGAGGGGAGGCCCCCTCACCAGCGAGCAGGGGTGCAGTGGATTTCCCTACACAAACCACAGCCGTGGCTTCCGTGGGATGGCAGGAGGTCCGACGGCCGCGGTGGGATCCGAACGGTGCCCACAGGCCAGGGGCCCTGCTGAGCGTGTGACCTTGGGGAGCTCACTTTTCCTCCCTGAGCAGCATGTCCCGCTTTACAAGGACGCATGCTGGTGGGGGCGGGCCTGGCACAGGAGGGTGTGGCCTGCCTCAGGTGTCCGGAAGGAAGCCCAGTGGGGCCCCCGCAGACCCAGAGCCCGAAAGGAGAGGCGGAGGCAGGCGCTGAACAGCAGGAGCGGCGGGACGCTCCGGGTGTCTTTATTGAGCATGGAGCACAGCATGACAGTCGAAGGCATGCAGACAGGGCGCCAGGGCGCCAGGGCCCCCGGCCGAGGCTTGCCTCAGACACGCGAGAGCGGACAGCTTTAGAAAAGGACCGACACCGGGGAGGCAGGGCAGGCTGGGAGCGGGGCGGGGGGGCCGAGGGAGGGGCAGAGGCCGAGGTCGAAGGGGTCACCTGGCCTCTGCTATTGCACGCGTCCTCTGGCCACCGGCCAGGAAGTACAGTATTGCAACTGGTCTCCGCTCGCCCAAGGCTTCCCCTTCTCAGACCCCTGAGCCCGATGGGCAGACAGACCCCTTCCCTGCCCGTCTGCCCAGCAGCATCTTTAAAAACAGATGGACGAGGGAGACAGAAAAATCAAAAATTTTAAAAAAGACAAAATGCCCCCTCCGTCAAGGACACAGGGAAGAGGGGGAAGGGGGAGAAGCTGCAGAGAAGCCCCTGGAAGTCCCCCCACAACTGGGGCGTGGGGTGGGAGGTAGAACCCCAATCTGGGGTGGGGTGGGGCTAGTGGGGCAGTGACCCAAGGGGGCGATCTGGCCTTCCACAGGCCACTGGCCCACAGGGGACATACCCCCAACAGAGTCTAGCCTGGGACCACCCAGCTGGACTGGCAGTTCCCAGGCCCACTTCTCCTAGGACACCCCCCACACACGTACAGCAGAAACAGGGAATCAGTCAAGGGAAGGGGATGGGGGTCCGGGGGAGGGTCAAGGGCTTGGGGAGACAGCCGAACAAAGACAGACCACCAATAATAGCACGTGCACTACACACAAGAGTATAGTATGTATGAATATAGATACTATATGTGCATATATATCTCTTCAATGTACAACAGAACAAAACATCAGACCCGGATGGCTCCGGGCCCCGAGGGTCACACGGGAGGTTTCCATCAGTCTTGTGCAAACAAGGATATCTGAGTCTTCCCCAGCGAGAGATTCTTGCCTGGGTTCCAGAGTGTCCCTAAGCCTCTGGCTTTCTGTCTGTCTGCCTGTCTCTCTCACGTTGGTGCCGCTTTAAGAGAGGGTGAGGACTTCAGCCTGGGCATAGTTGGACGAGAGGGCGTCTTGGCAGGTCTCTGTTTAAAGAGCACAGGTGTGAGACACCGGGACGCACGCTTTCGGCTCAACATTGCCTTCTGGGGGTGGAGGGCAAGGAGTTCAGCAGAAGGGAGACAGAGAATGAGATGTTAGAAGGAAGGCGGCTGCCGACCCACAGGCCGAGGGCTAGTGAGTAGGCCAGGAGCGGAGCTGGGCAGCGTGGGGACCCAGGGTAAAGAGGCCAGGGATGGGCCAGGGGATGGGGTAAGCCCCTCTGTCACCCCTCTGCCCACCCAGCTCTGGGCCGAGGTGACCCCCAGGTGGTGTTACAGCTCATCGCCATACCTGCTCGGGGAATGGACTCCAGGAACCACTAGCCCAGGTCTTCAAAGCTCCAGCGCAGTGGAGAGAGGGGCCCCCGCTGTGCGGCCTGGCGTGAGGCAGTGGGGGAGGTTCCTGCTTGGCCTGTAACCCACAGGCCCTCACCCCAGCTGCTGCCTGCCCCGCTTGGGCTCCCCCCACATGGCTCCATCTGCCACCACCACCTGGGGCCCTTCTGCTGTTCCACGGGGCTGCCCTGGCCTGCCCCGCCCCCCCTTCCTCAATCTGGCAGGGGCAGAGCCCGTCTGGCTGGAGGGCAAATGCTGACAGGCAGGGTCAGGAGAGAAGGCCCGAAAGCAACCCCCCGAATGAGCCCTTCTGGGCATTCCACTTCAGCCTGCGATGTCGGTGGCCTGGGCCTTCCCATCCACTACCTTCCCAGCATGGGCACAGGCAGGACAGGCAGGGAGGCTGCTGTGGGTGCAGGGACTTTGGAAGGTGATGCTCTCTGCCAAGATCAGAGGCTCTCCCTCGACCCCCACACTGCCCCCCCTACCCCGCCCCCGGCAGCAGGGGCTCCGGGCTGAACAGACACCTCCGCCTCTGGCTCCAGCTCACAGCCACTCCTCTCAGAAGCCCTGGGGGTGAAAAGGGGCCCCGTAGGGTCACCAGCAGCCCTGGTACAAGCCAGAAGGTAAGGTTAACAACTCCTACCAGGCTGCTTCCCTGCTCTGCGAGGAGGCGCTGGGCCCCAGCTATAAAGGAAAGGCTTCTAGAAGGCCAGTACAGGTCCAAGTTAAGACGCAAGGCGAAGTAAATTGCGCTCTCAGGTTGTCGGGGAAGGGAGAGCCTTCCCGGAAGTGAGAGGCTTAAGGCCTGGGCCAGCCCAAGGCCCTGCAGGCACGGGCTCCCCAGTCAGAGCTGCAGAACCTTCCCCGGGGCCCCGGGAAGGCCGATGTCCTGAGAAGTAGAGGGGCGGACAGCCTACTCGGCTCCCCCATGAGCTAGGTCCTGGGTCTCTCCCACGGAAGCCAGGGGGCCAGGAGGGACGTGCGGGAGCCTGCTCCCAAGGCACTGGGGGCCCCAGCCTGGCACTCCTGCATCATGTCGCCCGGGGACATCTGTGCCCACCCCGGGGGCGCCGTGAGCATGCCCGTCCCTGTGGGAGGGAAGGAGGCGGTGGGCGCCGTGGAAACCTGGGCTCCTAACAACGTGAGGGCTGCCACCAAAATAGCCGCCTCTGTTCCCCGAAGCAGAAATGCAAGTCAGGGGAGAAAATAGCTGTGGTGCTCGCGCTAAGCCAGTCACCTAGCTCCTCACGTCCCCGCCAGAGCCAGGCCCCGGTGCCAGGGAGCCCCGCGGGGGCAGGACTGAAGCTGTCCTCACCAAGGAGCAGCTGGGCCCTCGCACTCGGGGGTGAGGGGAGAAGCTTCCTGGCATCTCCATCCTGATCCACAGGGCTTGCCTGTCCCTGTCCCTTAAAGGGACCTGTCCCTTCTTGACAGAGGTCGCATGGATACCCCTGTATCTTCTCAACTCTTAGCAAGATGCTTCATTCTGAGAGAAAGAGGGAGACAAGCCCCAGAGACCACAGCGGCGCTGGGCCATCCCAGCTCCCGCCTGAACAGACCTTTCTGGAAGGCACACTGCATGCCTGCCCAAGGCTGAAGAGGACACCGGCTGAAGAGGGGTGCTCCCTGCTCTCCATGGGGGGGATCTGGCCTCCTGCCAAGTTCGCCCTTCGGGTAGCCCCCTGATTTCCCAACATCCTCCCGAATACTATCCCGCCATCCCTCTCTTTGCCCACCCAGAACGAAGCAGCTACTGCCTTTACTTAGTCATTCCCTCAACAAAGTTGCATAATCTGACTCTAAAAATGGCCAGGCGCACGGCTCCGCTGTCAAGTCTCATTCCCATCAGGTGGATGAGGAAGCGACGCCCCTCCATCCCCGGGCTGCGGAGGGCCTGCCTGAAGGGCCCTGCTCTGGGCCCCACTGAGGGTGGGGCCGCTGGGGCTGGCCCTCCCCGGGAGCGGCAGGGTACCCGGGCCAGAGCGGCGGGGGCGGCATGGCTGTCCCCACACCACCCCTCAGCGGCCCCTGCTCAGGGTGCACCCCTGCTCTCACAATGACTCACAAATCTGTTGTGCTCCTGGGCTCGTTAGGTAAATGAATACACTTAATTATAGAAATTAGATGAGTCTCTGGTTCTGGCAGCAATACAGAGCGCAGAGGCTGGGTGGGAGCGGCAGGCGACGGGGAGGCTGGGCTGGGAGTGTGAGGCTGTGGAGAGGGAAGAAGAAACTCGCGGAAGCAGAGGAGGAAGCAGCGTGGCGAGAGGGGCCGAGGCTCGGGGCGCAGATGGGATGCTGGGCCCCGCCGCCTGCGGGCGTTGCCAGAAAGGAGGGCCTTCCCGTGCGTGCCCAGGCTCTGGGGACCCCACCTGCGCCCCAGGCCAGAGCTGGAGAACAGCGGCCTCTTCTCCAGGGGTGGCACTGCTCCCCTCAGCAGAAAAGGCCCCTGGACGCCAGCCGAGATGCCCCATGGGGCAGCCTCATTCCTTGCTGGTCTGGGTGTGGGATGGACAGACAGACAGACAGAGACGTTGGTTGCAGGCCGTTTGGTTACTGGTTGAAGGCCACAGGGAATGGAAATGTATTTGCTGTGACTGAGGTGGGACTGTGTGGGGGAGGCAGGGCTCCCTGAGCACTTTGGGGAGCTGGGTGCTGTGCAGGAGAGGCTCAGGGGCCTCAATTCTCTTGCCTCCCTCCCGGGGTGGGCCCGCTTGTAAATGCAGGCCCAGAGGTGGGAGGGCCAGGACGCAGCTATGGGACCAAGCGCCCGGGGGGCGGGCTGATGAGGGGGTGAGGGGGGAGGGAGAACAGGAGCTTTCTTGGAGGGTAGGGCGAACTGTATCGTGGCGCCAGTGGAGACAGCCCCAGACTGGTTCCAGCCGCTCCCGCTATGTTGTTTAGACTCCTGGACTTTTCACAGCCTTGGTGAAGAAAAGGCACAGGGGTCAGAGGGCACGCTCCTCACCTGCACGGCTCCAGGGCATCCACGCATCCACGGGCCCTGCAGGGCTGGCGGCTGGGAGGGGCTGGTCTACCTGGGAAAGTCTCCCTCACTTTCCCTGGTCTCTGGGTCACCTGGGCTCCTGAGGACGGACTCCAGGGCCACACGGCCAGCTGACCTTTGCCCTGCTGTGTCCCCAGCTGAGTTCCCCTCCAGCTGCAGGAAGACCCCAGCACCCTCCGGTCTCAGCCCTACGGAGCCTTAAGGAGCCCCTGCCTCCTCCTTCCCAGGGAGGCCACTGACGCGTGTGCGGCTACAGGCTGACGGGGGTCTGCGCCGGTGGCTGGAGGAGGCCTGCGCCCACCCACTCCTGGTCCTAAACGAAGCCTGAGCGCGGAGAAGTGAGCGCGGCAGAGTCTGGCACAGGGAAAAGTTGCCGAGCGCGCGCTGCACGGCCTGTTTCCCGGCAACCCACCTGTTCCCTCTCGAAGGTTACGCTAATTGGCTGAACAACACGGTTGTTGCCAAGAAGCGGTGTGGAGGCATCTTGAAAATAGAGCAGCCAGGCCCCACAAACACCCAGAGGATCTGGTGGTGGGACGCAGACGCCACGCAAGCCCACGCGGGACCCCTTCCCCAGGGCCACCTGCTCCCCGCACCTCACGGTCCCTCCCGACGGGCACCCTCACAGCCTCTTCCACTGCGTTACTTCCACTGAGCCCCTCACAAGGCCGGGAGGAAAGCAGGGCCGCCCAAGTCCTACACGAGGGCAGGGTTCCCTCCTCATATTCTGGGCTGGCCACTTAGTACGCGCCAGCCAGAGCAGGGTCCGGGTCTGACCAGGAGGCAGTGGGACCGCTGTGTATTTGGGGCGGGGAGCAGGAGAGAGAGATACTTCCTGAGCCAGAGGACTGGGGCACGCAGAGGCCAGGGGTGGCCAGAGGGACGCAGGAGAGGGTGTAGCGGTCTGAACACAGCCACCACCTGGCCTTCACCTGGGCCCCCCGGGCCGTCTCCTTCCAGCTGCCAGATCGCAGCTCCTGCTTCCGACACCCACAGGACTGATGCTGCCTTATGCCTCTCAGGCCTGGTGAGGGTCGGGGCACCCTGGGGATCCTGTGGGAACAGTGGCCCAGAGACAACCAGGGACAGGGGCCTGGGAAGGTGACTCTGGAGGATGCATGGCTAGACAGGCCAGGGGACATCCTTGGGGGTACTGGGACATCACAGGGTATTTTTGCAGCAGCCACTGCCCCTGCCTCATTCGACCCTGACTTGGTCTGGGGTTTGGGGACAGCGGAAAGTGGCAGGGGGATTGGGCCGAGGGAGGAATCGTTAAGAAGTGGATCAAGAACCAGGGCAAGGCTTTGTTTCACGGGAGTCAGAATTGATCCTGAAACCACACAGGGTGTTTAGGGAGGCGAGGTCACACAACAGGGCAAGAAAGATAGAAAAAGTGATGAGGGACTGTGCAGAGGAGCATCTGGTCTCCAGCCACGACTGGCCCCCAGCCGCCCGTGATCACTCCTGTGCCCCTCGCAGGCCAGGAGCCCTGGCACCGGCGCCCGGGCCTGTGCAGGCCTGGGGTCTGTGAGGGCATGGCAGCCTCCATGACAGGAGGCTGTGGGTGTCCCCCTGCGCCCTCTAAGCTCTTCAAAACACACCGCTGAGGGGACCCACTCCCTGCCCACCCCACCCCTGGTCACCCTGCTCAAGTCACATCCAGGGGCTGGCAGAGCTGGGTCGGCCCCTCCTGGGCTCCAGGCCCCTGCATCAGGATGGAGGAGGAGGAGGAGGAGGACCTCCCGAGTGTGGCTGGGAGTACTTCCTGGGGGAAACCTTAGCTGTGTGTAAGGCCGGCTGAAGGGAAGACGGGCCAGGGCCCGGGAAGCCAGGCCTGATGGTCTCAGCAGGAACCAGAGGAGGAGAAGGTAGCCACATGGAGGGGCGGGCAGGGACCCTGATCCCAAGTCCCCTCATGGTCAGTGCTTGTCTTTCCTGTGGGCACCTGGGGAGCGGGCCGTGTGCCCCTTCTGAGAATGCGACAGGCCCTTCTAAGGAAATCAGGGACTGGGAGATCGGGGAGATCATCCTAAAAGTGGGGGCGCGTCCAAGGCAGAGGAGATGGTGGCCACGGCGTCAGCGGGGGAGGGGACCTCAAGCTTTGTGGGGGACACTGAGGAGCCCCAGCTCCGTGGGGGCTCCCCCCCTGCCCTGCCTGGGGAGCCGTACCTTTCCGGACACGACCATCAGCACAGGCATAGTCCCCCGCGCTGAGCAGGAAGCAGGCAGGCGCCTTCTTGTTTCTGTCCCGGGTGCCGGAGCGGCGCAGGGCCCGGCGCTCCTCGGGGCTAGGGGCGGAGGCCAGGGGCTGGGTGAGGCCGGCTCCCTCCTCGTCGGACAGCACCGCGTTGGCTTCGCCGTTCTGCTTGGAATCTAAGGGGTCAGACAGAAAGGGCGCCTCCGTGTGAGGGCTGCCGGCCTTCCTCGCGGGGCCACTTGGGGTGGCTTAGATCCCAGAGGAGGGTGTCGCTTCTCCAACCTGAGGAGGGGGCCCAGGGAGTGGGCCTGGCCCTTGGGGGCAGGATGCTGGCCTCCTCCCCAGCCTTGGTCGAGCGTCTGTCGGGGAGAGAGAGGCCCTGAGCAGGGACACCCCAAGTCGGCTGTGCTGCCCCGTGAGCTCGCCCCCAGGCAGGCGGCGGACCCTGCTTCCTCCTTGGGTCTAGCTCAGGCTGGCACTTGATGAGTGCACAGCCTTAGAGAATGCCTGGCTTGCTGGGGTGGCAGGTGGCCCTGCGAAGGTGACACCAGCAGAGTGGCTTCCACAGCTGTCTGCGGGACCACCTGAAGGCAGCTGCCCTTGGTCGCCAGGCGTCCGAGCTGAAGGGCTCTCTGAGCTTGGAGCTCCCCCGGGTCTAGGGCCCGCGGGGGTGGAGAGGCTCCAGTTCGGCCCCCACAGCTGTGGGCTCCTCACCCCAGGCTCCTGCTCCCTCAGGCAGCGGCCCTGGTGAAGCGGAGCCCTTGGGTCTGGAGGAGGGGGACCACTCACTGGCCAGCCGTGGCCTTACTGTGGCCACGCAGGGAGGGTCAGGCCAAGGCATGGCTGACGGCCACAGGTCACTAGCACTGCCTGGGCCGCCGCCTCTGGGGTCCCTCCCATCCCACATGAATCCCTGAGCCCAGGACTCAGTCTAGATTGTGCGGCACAGAGGTGGCTTCCCACTGCTGTTAGGCTGTCACGCGTGTTAAGCCAAGAGACAGCAGACTCGGCCAGGTGGGGAGACGTGATTCATGTGCTCCTGCACCTCAGAAGAACAGCTGGGCACCTCTCCGGCTAATAATGGCAGTGTCTGATATTTGTGAAGTGGTTTTAATGTCTCAACGGACTTTCGTTTCTGTCATTTATTTGGGTCTCATCAAAGGCCTGGGGGTAGGGCATTAATATCATTCCCATTTCACAGGCGAGAAATCTATGCCCAGAGCGGGCAAGCGACTGGCCTCAGGACACACAGCAAAGTGGGCAAGATGAGATTAGAAACCTAGGCTCCTACTTTACAGCTCCATGCACGGCCCACCACGGCCTAAGTTCAGTGGGAGACTCACTCCACAGGCCCCGACGCGCAGGGAGCAATCAGAGAACCAAGGGATAGAAAGAGTCGGCCTCTGTGCCATCCCCTCAGAGGCACAGGCTACCCTTTGGGCAGCCCAGAGCACTAAAGCACAATCCCAAACTCCTAGGGCGCGGATCGTCTGGGGACGCCCTCAGCCACTGCGGGAGAGGCGGCCTTCCTTCCCGGCCCCCCGGTCTCACCTGCCCGCTTCCTCTCGACCACGCCCTCTTCCTGGGCAGGGGGGCTCGTGTCACTGTAGGTGCTGTCCCGGGGCGAGGTCTCCTCGGACTTGCAGTAAATGGGAGACTCGAGCTGGGGCGGCCGTGGCACGTGCTTCTTCCGTTTCTTGGGCAGCTTCTGCTTGGCCATGGCCAGGGAGTAGTACATGCCGAAGTTGTTGACAATGACGGGCACGGGCATGGCGATGGTGAGCACCCCGGCCAGCGCACACAGCGCCCCGACCAGCATCCCCGACCACGTCTTGGGGTACATGTCCCCGTAGCCCAGCGTCGTCATGGTGACCACCGCCCACCAGAAGCCGATGGGGATGTTCTTGAAATCGGTGTGGTCATTGCCCCGCGGGTCGGAGGGCCGGGCGCCAATGCGCTCGGCGTAGTAGATCATGGTGGCGAAGATGAGCACGCCCAGCGCCAGGAAGATGATGAGCAGCAGGAACTCGTTGGTGCTGGCGCGCAGGGTGTGGCCCAGCACCCGCAGCCCCACGAAGTGGCGCGTGAGCTTGAAGATGCGCAGGATGCGCACGAAGCGCACCACCCGCAGGAAGCCCAGCACGTCGCGGGCCGCCTTTGACGACAGGCCGCTCAGCCCGACCTCCAGGTAGAAGGGCAGGATGGCCACGAAGTCGATGATGTTCAGCAGGTTCTTGACGAAGTCCAGCGTGTCCGGGCAGCACACGATGCGCACCAGGAACTCCAGCGTGAACCACAGCACGCACACACCCTCGATGTAGGTCAGGATGGGCTCAGTCTCCACCTCGCGCCGGAAGTGCACGCTGGTGGTGTTCCCCACTCGGTGGATCTCCGTCACGTTGCGGTCGATGTTGAAGGCCTCGTGGGTCTCCAGGCAGAAGGTGGTGATGGAGACCAGGATGAAGAAGAGAGAGGCAAAGGCCACCACCTGCGGGTGAGGTAGAGAGTGGGGGCAACTGTCAGACAGGGATGGGGAGACAGGGACCTCTGCTTGCACAGGGTGGGGACATGGGTCACCAGGCAGTCCACTAGACAGATGGTGAGAGGTGGGATTAAAGTACACAGTCAGGAGCTACAATCCCCCCTCACAGGATTGCATTCATCTCCTTGGGCGCTTTAAGGCAATATTTCCCAATCATTGTCACGATGCCTGGAAGTTCCAGGCTGACGTTGGCTGGAAGCAACTGCCTAAAGCTGCCGGCCCTGCTCACTGCGTAGCTCCGCCCCCTCTAACCCAGGTGTGCTTTAAGGCCTCTCCAACTCTACGGGTGTGTAAGTCACTGGGATCTCGTTAAGATGCCATTCTGCTTCCGGAGGTCAGGGCAGAACCCGTGACTCTGCACGTCTAACAAGTTCTCGGTCCACAGACTATGCTTTGGAGCCCCTGGGCTTTAAGGCAGTGTTCCTGCAAGTGGGACCCTGGACCGGCAGCCTAGCATCACCGGGGAACTGGTTAGAAATGCAAATTCGCAGCCCGGACCCCAGCCTACTGAACAGAAATGCTGGAGTGGGGTGACCAGCATCTGTTGTGACACTCCTTCCAGGTAATTCTGAGGCACACACATTTTGAGGTCTGCTGCATCATGGGAAATGCCCCGAGGCAGGAGGCTGGAGGGAATGACCCTGGGCCTTGTTCTGCCAGCTGAGCCTGCTAAGCTCCGGCTAGGACCCACCTCCAGGAGCCCCAAGTCCAAGTCCCTCTTTTTGCCTCGCACCTTGGGACGTCCCAGCTGACCGCCCCGCCAGTGAGAAGCGCCTGAAGGAAGACATAACGCTCCGTGGCAGGAGACGGGGTGGTCCGCCCAGAGTAACCATCCCCACCTCCCAAGAGCTGACATTCCCTGGACCCTGAGCTTCGAAGGAAAAGAAACTGCACCTACTAGGCGCAAAGCGCGGCAGCAGCGGCGGGGTCTCAGCTGGAGCGAGAGCGGCGGCCCAGGGCAGAGGAGCGGCTGGGTTTAAGTGCCCAATCACTACGAGTGGCGATGAAATGCGTGCGTAATAGCGCAATTACAGGGCCCTCATCTGTTATTCATGGATACCATTCACCACTGTCAGGGCACCCGGAGTGGGGGCCTGGGGCCCGTGATGCAGCCCGTTCTGCTTGGTGGGTGGGGGTGGGCTTCCTCCCCGCGCCCAGGGCCGAACCAAAGTCGGTGGGTGAGAGAGGACACGATTCCACGGTCACTAGGCACCCCCACGTCTGCCCTGATGCCCGCTTCCCGCCCCCCCCGCCCCCCGGCCACGGCCACGGCGTTGCACTGTCTAATGACACCTCTCAGAGCTGCTCTCCTTCCTGGGACTCTGCACCAGGAGGGGGCGGTGTGGGGCACACACCTTGCTCTTACTGCTACAAAACACCAGTGGGGGACACAGGGAGGCAGGGACAAGGCAGCAAGCAGCAGCACGTCTGGGGCTCCGGAGCAGCGGCGAGCCTGAGGGGCACTTTGGGAACCCACGCGGGTCAGCTGTCTATTCTGTGCCAGCCCAGTGGGGCCTCTGGGTGTGTTGTCGCCTCCCGTCCTCCCAGTGACCCCGTGAAGCAGGCCCATCACTCCGCTTTACAGGAGACACTGAGGATCAGAGAGGTAATACACCTGCCTAACATCCCACAGCCCGGAAAGGGTGGAAACGACTTGAACTCAGCACTGCTTCTCTTTGGAGGCCGGACCTGCTCCTCACACCCAGCTGCACGTCCTCCAGGGCAGGGCTGATCTCCGGCCCGGGAGAGCCTCCTCTGCAATGTCCTCCCTCTGCAATGTCGACGCTGCTCCCAGCCAGCTCCCTGATGACAGCGTCGCACCTCGGAATGTGGGCCTCGGGCTCCGGACAGACACCCTCCGCTCACTGGGACTTATTTACACTCCAACGCGGATGGGCTGATGGGACAGAGCTCGGAAGCAGGGTGGGGCGGGTACTTCCCCCACTTGACAACTTTGCTGGAGCTTCTCCTGCCCCCTCCCCGACCCCGCTCCCCACTCCCTACCCCGTGAAGGTAAACATCAAGCTTTCTCCCTGGCCTCACTCTCCCTCCCCTGAGAGAAACGGTCTGTCAAGGCAACGCAGGCCCGTGCGGGCACTGCAGGTGGCAAACAGCCGCGGCCTCTGGGCTCTTTGTGCCAACACGAGATGCTGCCCAGTGGCCAGTGCTGCTGGGAACCCACAGGACGGGCACTGCCCCTCCCCGCAGAAGCAAAGGCGGGCTGGGGTAAGGGGTGGGGACAGCACGTCCCAGCGGCCAAGGAGCGTGGGAAGCCGCACTTGCTCCCTCCAAGGGAGAGCCAGCCAGGAGAGTTGGCCCACCTGGGAGCGCAGTGTGAAGGTAATTAGTGATTTGGAAAAACAAGTTCAGGAAGAGCTGCCAAGGGGTGGAGCAGAGGGGGGCAGGGAGCGAGGGCCATGGGCCTGGGCCGCTGCCACCTGCAAGGTCAAGGGGCCTGCCTCGGGGCCTCGCTGCTGCTCCCCCAGGGCCCTCCTGCGCCGGGTCCGGTGAGTGCAAAGCGCCCCTCCGGCACTAGGGTTCACCCCCGAATCCCCACAGTGTTCACTCACTTGGGCTGTTTCTTTTTTAAAACTGAACTGTCCCATCTCGTCACCCCTTCCCCTCACCGCCACCTCTCAGAAGATGAGAGCAGATGAAGGGTAGCCACGTGTGCCCATTTCTCAGGGGCAACAGAGGCACCAGGGAGGGCAAAGGGCTCGCTCAGGCCTCCTGCCTCTCAGCTCCAAGCTCTCTCCAGTTCGGCCCCCTGACCAAGCACGAGGGGACAGTCCACTCCTCCTGGGAGACCACTAGCGGGGCCTCCGTCTCCCCTGCCTCCACTCCAGGCCTGGCGGCAGGTGCCAGGCAGGCCCAGGGAGCCTTCGCCCCTGCGGAGACGGGCAGACCTGAGGCTGAGCTATGACGGGGCAGGGATGTGGACGCCGGCACGTCGCCCTTCAGGGCCCCAATTACTCTTTTCTCCCCTACGTCACTGTTGGAAAAGAATCATTTGGTAAGTGGGGGCCCCGCCAGCCATAGGGGCTTTCGCCAGGCCCTCCTCTCCGGTGCCAGGCGCAGTGTCTTCCTCTCCTGCTCTCCTGATCAGGGGCTTCCCGGGGCAGAGAAGGGCCCGGGAAGGAGGCAGCAGCGCCCTGGTGGGAGGTCAGGGCCTCAGGCCTCCCGTCAGCCCCCACCGGGACATCGTGCTCACTGGCAGCGTGCGTGACAGCTTCCTTCCCCCTCGGCCCCTACCCGAGGGGACGGCGGGCCTCGGGGGACCCATGACAGAAGGCAAACGAAGGCTCAGGAGCCCTGGACTCACACCACCTGAGTTCCTCATCCTGGCCCTGCCAGTCGACCAGGTAAATGGCGTCCGTTGTGCCTGTCTCCTCCCGACACAGCGGGCATAGTGCTAGCACCCACCTAGTCTGCCACCGTGGGGCTAAGTGAGCGTCTGCATGGCGAGCGCCTGGCGCACAGAAGTGCTCGGTAAATAAACGGTGCCTGAGCTGAGGTGTGGGGGCCCCCTGGGCCCCACGTGCGCCTTCTGAGGGCGAGTTGGAGCTGACACCAAAAGCATCACCAGGTCCTGGCCTTTTAGAAGCGAAAGGGATTCCGAAGGCCACCCAGTTCACATCCCTTCCTGCTGTTTTACAGGTGAAGACACTGAGGCCTGGGGAGAAGGGACTCACCCTGGTTCCCGTGGCCGGAGCCGTGGCTCTTTCCACCACCTGAGGACTCGGGGCACGGCTGCGCGGGAGCTCGGAGCTGCCCCGGCGGGAGGCCGAGGACACTGCCCGTGCGACCTGGCCGGGCGGGGTCAGCTCCTCTCCTTCCCGCTGGGCAGGGGCAGCACCTCACCACCCCCCCGGGACAGGGGGGGCCTCGGCTCTGGGCAGGAGCCCCTGCTCCTCCAAGCTTCCTGCTCCCCGCGGGCCCCTCCCGTTGGCGGCCTGGGCACCCTCCTGTCCCCAGAACCCCAGGTATTTCAGCTACTGGGCCAGCGCTGTGAATGGCCTCCTCCACTGAGCTCATCCTGGGACTGTCCTGGATGAAAGGGGAAAGTCACACACTTTTGGGTGCCAGTTGGGCTCCACGACTTACCTCCTCTCCTGGGGGGCCCTGGGCAAGTTTCTTTGCCTCTCTGATCTTTGTTCATAAAATGGGAAGCAGGCGTTTCCTACTAGGCGCCTGACACTGTTCTGGGGCTGAGGAACGACAGGACACAAAACAAGACGTCCCTGTCCTTAGACCTTACATTCTAGTGGAGGGAGACTGTCCACAAATAAAAAAGGAAAATACACAGCATGTCAGATGGATGGTGTGAGCATCAGGGAGGAAAGTGAAGACAACAGGGGTAAGGAGTATGAGGGCGGAGGAGCGTCTTCAAATTGGGTGGTCCGGCCAGGCCTCAATGCCGAGGTGACACCCAAGCAGAGACTGAGGGAGTTATGAGAGGGTCCAAAGGCACGGAGAGGCACAGGGAGCAGGCAGGGCAAAGGCCCTGGAGCTTCGGGATGTGTGATGCGTTGAGAGGACGAGGGTGGCACTTAGCTTAGAGGGCTGTTTTGAGGACGAAAAGAAACAGTATTTGTAAAACTCAGCACAGAACCTAGAGTGTCTCAGGAACCTGGCCCAGGCCAGAGGATGGCGAGGAGGTGACAGACACCCGTCACTGGAAACTGAATACACCGGTGAGGGCGGGGGGGAGCCCAAGGAGACAGATGGACAGATAAACATAAGGAGACGCATGCCCGGGAGCCTATATTAAGGATGAAGTGTAGGAGAAAAGAAATTTGAGAACACAGCCAAAGACACTTGCAGAGAGAGCTCTGTGGGGACGAGCTGAGCCTTCTGGGGAAGCAAGATCCCAGAGCCCAGGGCGGGCTAGGAAGGAAGTGGGCAGCCTGAGGGCTGAGGGGAGGAAGGAAGGGAGCGGGCGTCCG